TCTCCTGTTTTTCTTTTGTCAGTTTGGCCAATTGTTTATCAATTTTGTTGATCTTTTGTAAGAAACAGCTTTTGGTCTTGTTAACTCTTTCAATTGTTTATCTATGCTGTATTTCATTTAATTCTGCTCTAATTCTTATTATTTCCTTTCCTCTAGCACCTGAGAGCTTCTTTTGCTGCTATCTTTCTACCTGTTTCAGTTGTAGGGTTAATGTTTTGATTATGGCCCTTTCTTCTTTTTGGATGTATGCATTTATTGCTATAAACTGACCTCTGAGCACTGCTTTTGCTGTGTCCCAAAGGTTCTGGTAGGATGAGTTTTCACCCTCATTTGATTCTATGAATTTCTTTATTCTATCCTTAATTTCCTCTATAGCCCAGTAGTTTTTGAGCAAGGTGTTGTTCAGTTTCCAAGCGTTTGATTTTTTTTCCCTTGGTTTTTCTATTGTTGATTTCTACTTTTATGGCTTTATGGTCAGAAAAGATGCTTTGTAATATTTCGATGCTTTAAAGTTTGTTAAGGCTTGCTTTATGGCCTAATATGTGGTCTATTCTTGAGATTGTTCCATGTGCATTGGAAAAGAAAGTATACTTGGCTGCTGTTGGGTGGAGTGTTCAGCATATGTCTATGAGCTCAAGTTGGTTGATTGTAGCATTTAGCTCTTCCATGTCTTTGTTGAGCTGGATGTTCTGTCCTACACTGCATGTGGTGTGATGAAGTCTCCTGCTACTATTGTGGAGCTGTCTCTCTCTCTTTTCAATGACGTTAAGGTTTGTTTTATGTATTTTGGAATACTGTCATTGGGTGCATAAATATTTATTATACTTATGTCCTCCTAGTGTATTGACCCTTTAATCATTTTTAGTGTTCTTCTTTATCCTTTGTGGTGGATTTTACTTTAAAGTCTATTTTGTCAGAGATTAATATTGCCACTTCTGCTCTTTTTTGAGTGTTGTTTGCTTGATATATTTTTTTCCCAACCTTTGAGTCTGAGTTTATGTCTTTAAGTGTAATGTATGTCTCTTGTAGTCAGTATATATACAGATTTTGTTTTTTATCCTATCTGCCATTCTCTGTCTCTTTATTGGTGCATTTAGTCTGTTTACATTCAGTGTAATTATTGATAGGTATGATTTTAGTTCTGTCATTTTGATGTCTTTTTTTGTGTGTTCACAGTTTCTTTGTTCAACTTAATTTTCTGTGCTGAGTTGCTTTTCTTTATGTATTTTCTTTTCATCTTTTTCATTGCTGTTGATTTTGTGTTTGCTGAGTCTTTGTATTTTTCTGGTTTTTTATTTTGACTTTTAGAATTGTTACTTTCCTTTGAGGTTACCTTAATATTCATCGCTATTTTTCTAAGTTTATACCAGTCTTTTATTTCTTTATACCGCCTTGACTTGCTCTCCATATGAAAAATCTATGTCTACATTTTTTAAGGTCCTCTTTTTTGTTTTAATGTTGTCATCTTTTACGTATTGACATCTGTTTCCCTATTGTCAGTTTTTTAGCTTTGATTTACTTTTGTCACTTGCCTATCTGGGTTGTTATCTGGTTGCTCTGTCCTGTGATCTAGTCTTGGGTTGTTATCTGATGTTACTGATTTTCTAACCAGAGGACTCCCTTTAGTATTTCTAGTAATTTTAATTTGGTTTTTGCAAATTCCCTAAACTTCTGTTTATCTGGAAATCCCCTAATTTCACCATCATATTAGAGAGACAGTTTTGCTGGATATATAATTGTTGACTCACAATTTTTTTCCTTAAAGTCTTTATATATGTCATCCCATTGCCTTCTTGCCTGCGTGGTTTCTGCTGAGTAGTCCGAGCTTATTCTTATTGACTCTCCTATGTAGATGACTTTTTGTTTATCCCTAGCCACTTTTAAAATTCTCTCTTTGTCTTTGGTTTTGGCAAGTTTGATTATAATATGTTTTGGTGACTTCTTCGGAGATCTACCTTATGTGGGGTTTGATGAGTGTCTTTGTTAGATGTCTTGTTATCTTTCACAATATCAGGGAAGTTTTCTGCCAACAAATCTTCAACAGTTCTTTCTGTATTTTCTGTTATCACCTCCTGTTCTGGTACTCCAATCACTTGTAGGTTATTCCTCTTGATAGAATCCCACATAATTCTTAGGGTTTCTTCATTTTTTTTAATCCTTTTATCTTATTTTTCCTCATATCAGTTGGTGTCAAGTAATTTATCTTCAGTCTCACTAATTCTGACTTCTACTGCCTCAATCCTGTTCCTATGACTTTCTATTTAGTTGTCTAATTCTGAAATTTTATTGTAAATCTTCTGTATTTCTGATTGCTATCTTTCTATGGATTCTTCCAGCCTGTTAAATTTGTCATTATGCTACTCTCTAATCTTTTTAATTTCCTCTATTGCATGTTCTGCATTTTCTTAATTTCCTTCCTAATTTCTTGAAGAGTTCTGTTTTAATCTTTTGTATTCTGCCTCTGGTAATTAGAAATTTTCCTCATCTGGAAAATTTCTAGATGTTTTTCTGGGAGCTTGCTGAAACCATCATAGAATGTCTCTTTATGTGATTTGATATTTACTGTTATCTCTGAGCCATCAATAAGTTATTATATTTATTTATTTTATGTTTGCTTGCTGTGTCCTAGCTTCTTATTTTGTTTTGATATGCCTAAATAGGCTGCTCGTAGGAGCTAGTTTGATTACTGACAACTTTGATGCTCTAATGTCTTGTCACCAGGTGGTTAGATCTGTTACTAGGTGTGTGAGCTCAGGAGTCCATCCTCTCCTGTATGGATTCAGCTCATGTGCCCAGGTAGATAGCCACCAAATGTGTGGTGTAGGCTCTCACTTATAGTCCTAGACAGATATGGATGATTGGTGTAGGCACAGATGTCTTGCTGCATCAATGGGACACACTCTGAGCAAGGCAGGGGGCTGACAGCTGCCCCTGAGTGTCCAGGAGGAAGGTGTGTCCCTGTTCCCTAGAGCATGTCGGTAGGTGGGTTTTGTAGCCAGACTATGAGCAGCTAATGCTGTTGGGCATAAGGACTGGGAGGCACCTCTTATTCATGGGCCCCTATTGCAGGTGGCTAGGTGGCATGGGTGGAGCCACCAGTGCTCAGGCCTCTGATGTGGGTGGGTGAAGACCCTGCTTAATGGGCAGAGCAGTGTCGAAGGTCAAGAACCTGCTACTTTACAGCTGAAACACTTGAAGTTAGACTTCCAGTATATACCGTGTAGTATTGCAGTTATGAGGGCCTATACTGTTGAAATGGGCCTGCACAAGTGTATGGAGGGGGAAAGGCCCTCAAAGTCCATGGATCCCTTATGCCTGCACCTAGGCAAAAGAGCTATCCCTACCCTGGGTTCCTGGCTTAGGGGAGCCGGCAGTTTATTTTCGCCTGTGTTTGTTAATTTATTCACTCTCCAAGGCAGGGAGAATGGCTCTGGGAGTGTGACAGATCCTACTTCCAGCCCAGGGGACCCGGCAATTGCTGAAGCTGGTCTGGGACCCAGTGCAGAGCAGGAAGCTGGGAGGTAAGTGGTAGAGAGGTTTTTCCCTAAAGGGGGGGGGGTGTTTTTGATCCACGTGGTAGACCGTATGCAAGTATTTATCTTATGCCAATCCAGGGCTGCTTCTCACTGGTTCTGGGTGGCAGTGTACACCCTCTGGTGCTGGGTCTCTCCCGGTGCAGAAAATGCTCCTCTCAAGCACTGCTGCTTGCCTGCCTCACTGCTTATGCCTTAGCTGATCAGGCCTGAAGGGCTCAGACTCTCACCGGGTCAGGGCTGGCAACTCCTCACTGCTTCCGAACCATCTCTCCCTCCCTCTGCCACACAGTCCTGTTCCTCAACTCTGCCTTTGATGTTCAGGGCTCCCAGCTTGCCATATATAATAGATACACTTTTTTTGGGCCTTTGCTGTAAGAGGGTCTGCCAGAAGTGTCTGACTACTCCACCATCTTGGCCACACCTCTCGGAATCACAAATTCTTAATACGTGATTTAAAGGAAAAACTTCCCTGTGTTCTGATTTGACTTTCTGTTTAAATCTCACTGACATGAAGATTTCTTATTGCGTGTATTTAGTTTTATATGTGCTTTGTCTATTCTTTCTTATTCTTACTCCACACACCCCTCCACTCCCCCAAGTAAGGGTGAAGCAGTGCTAGCTGTGCTATAATCTCTCTCACCGTCTCCATAGATATTAATGAACATAACAGCCACTAATAGAACTAGTATACACTTTTAGGGGAGATGACTGCCCTCTGAAGAAGCACAAAACTCTGTTAAGCTAGTTTAGTGGGGTAAAGGGGGAAAGAACGTTCCTGGCTACACCAATAAATCTAGAATAGCCGTCGGCTTATGGTCACATATCCTGGGTTTAAGACAAGGAGCAATGTCTATTGTCCACAGAGGGCCTTATCCTTTTTCCTTTTTTTCACCCCTTTTCCCTTTGACAACTCCTTTCCCCCCACTTTCTTTCTGTACACTGTTCATTCAGCACATAGGCAGTGTAGCTTGCTAGTATATTAACTGCAAAGAGAGAGACTGCAATATATTTTCCCATTGCACAAAGTGTGGCATGCATGAATGCAAAGTAACACACACCTTGGGACAAGAGCCCAACCTTTAGGAACCTTGGCTGATGAGGATGTTTGCTGTTCTACTCATCCCTGTCCTGTTTATCCTGTAAGTCATAAACAGGTGTTGATCACACCATTAAAACAGTGTCTGGTCTGTGCTCTGCTCCAAATATCTTCACTAAGAACTTGTGAATATGGTACATTGTATTCACATTTCTCATGAACATAGTTCCTGCTGCAATCTAAGGTTTAGTAACCTGAAAATTCTGGGAAATGATATTAGAAACTTATTAGAAACATCTTACGAAATAATAATTAGAAGCACACATATGTAGATGCAGTCATTTCTCAATCTGTGCACACAACCTGCCTAAAAAGAAAGGACTACTTTGTTTGCCATTTCAATTGCATTCCTGACAAGCGCAGGAGCCATGACTGGTGAGTCCTTTCCAGTCTGATAGGAGAGAGGAGAGCTCATGGGAAAGAAACAGTTTGGTAAAGGGCTGCCTTTCTTATTAGGCTTGGTGAAGGTTTATGTGAGTAGCCTTGAAGTGAAAAAAGAGAAGCAAGGTGGGGAGGGAAAGAGATCAGCCAGTCTTTCATAGATCTTGGGAAGGAAAAGTTAAGGAAGGGCTAGAAGAATCTTGGGCTTTGTTGATATCCTGCTATTATTTTTCAAGTCTTATCTGAATTCTAAGAGTAACAAGTTAAGTTGGGATGCAGAACAGGCACAGGGTGGGAGATGGGGGAGACCAGCATCTGTTGCTCCCAAAGGAACAACAGCTTTTGCCTGTTATTGTCTTTCAAAGTTCAGGAAACTGGGGTTAGTCAGAGCACAAGGACCTCTGATTTCTAGGGGACTAATGGAAAAATCTGAAATCAAGTCTCTAATATAATTTAGTGAGCACACCGGTTTAATACCAGAAAGAGAATGAATTATGGAGAGTGGATGCCTCAAGAACCAAAAGTGTTTGACCATTCTTCAAGACTTCTGAACTCTGTGGAGAGGAAAGTTTGACTGAGAAAGACTAAAAGTGTCTGTTTCCTTCTTGGTGAATTGAAAGGGGAATTGGTCTGTGTTCATAATTTGAGAAATCTTTGTGATTCCAATAGACAAACTCCTAAGGCAAAAGAGGACGCTGTTCATCTAGTCAGTGGGCACAGGTACAATAAATGCCTTGCTGGATAACCTATTACAGGACCAAGTGATGCATGAAGAGGAGATGGACAAAGTGAGATATGAAACTGTTACAGTCATGGATAAGGCTCGAGCCTTGATTGACCTTGTTATTCGGAAAGGGTGTGGGGCCTGTAAGAAATTTATCAAACATCTCCATGAAGAAGACCCTGAACTTGCACAGAAGATGAAACTGCACTTGGATAAGATCCAATGATTCAAACTAAAGTTCAAGTAGCCCCTGTGTCTTGAGCCCATTATCTGTTATCTTTGTTTGTCTTGTCTGTTTTGAAGAGGATTCCTATCATCTCAGCCTCAGATCCCATCTCTATATCCATGGCCCTAGTGGATGCTCTCTTGTCTACTCCTCTGTGCCCCTTGTGACTTTACTCTCAGTTCCCTCTGTTGATTACAGCTCATCTCTACTCCTGTGTGTATAGTAGCTAAGTTATTGTAGTTCATGGGAACAGTCTGAAAGGCTTTATTCTGAGTCCTTCAGTCACTGGGGAGCACTGGACAAGGTCACTCTTCCTGGACCTCTTATTGTTGTTGTTGTTGTTGGTATTAGTTATCAGCAAGTCAGCTCTGACTCATGGTGACCTTATGTATGACAGAACAAAAAGTTGCCTGGTCCTGTGCAATCTTCATTGTCATTGGTATACTTGACTCCATTGTTGCTGCTGTTCACCTGGATCACTAGATGCCCATTTACTTAAAAATTGAAGACATAAGCCCTTTTTCTACCTACCACCCTGCTTTTACTCTATCTCCTGATTAATGTGCTTCTCAGAATATGTAGTAATGGTGAAATCCTAGAGAACAAACTGAGTGTGTGCATCAAATTAAATGTGCATTAAATAATTATATTTACATTATGTTACACACTACTTCTGTTTTCTAGTCAACCTCTTGGCTTTTTCCTTAGTATAATATTGTCCACTTGCATGGTGTCAAACTGCATACACTACTCTGAGGCCTACCTCCTCTACCTCCAGTCCTTCTGAGGGCCCAATTCCAGCTGTCTGAGCTGATCCATTTTTATAATGCTTTACTCCCACCACAGAATGAAGATAGACATTCTGGTGGACTTTCAGCACTGGTCTCTGCCACACTCCCCAAAGCAACTGCAGAGAGAAGATGATTCTGTGGGAGAAAATATCTACTCCTGCCTAGAATAACAAAGGTCTTCCATAACCATATATTTTAAATAAATTTCTCCTGCAGTTACATTGCTTTTTTCTTGTTCTCTCCCTCCCCAACCCAACCATGGACAATCCACTAATAACTATCAAGGTCATGGATGATTATAATATAATCTGGATATTTCCTTACCCTTTCCTTTGCTTTTTGCTCAGCTTCCTTGCAATCCTGTAGACACAAATACACTCCATTTTGATGCTTTTGGCGCCTTGGTTCTGCCATTATGGGACCCAAATAATGTTCTCCTTCACTTAGAGTTTTTGATGAACATTGCCTCTTTGTAATGCTCTCATCGTTATGGCAGTTTTTCAGAGCTTGGTCTATGACAATTAGCCAATGTAATAAACACACCTTCCTTTATGGGAGAGCACTAGAAAAAAGCCATGGACCAATACTCTATTAGCAGATATCAGGTTTCTTCCCAAAAATGTTCTTGAAGGTACTGATGGTAAATATAGCGTTTCAATTCTGAGTGGGCTGGGTAGAATAAAGTGTGACTTGCTTCCTGAGGAATGTAGATTTGTGAAGTCAGTACCTTAGAATGGCACCCCATGGCTCTTCACCTGTCAGGACAGGGAAATGGGCATTAATTTTTCCTATGCTGCCTTTTCCTCGTGTATATGATAATAAACAGTGAAGTATTATTTCTAGAAGCCTCAGGAGTGTTGCTAATTTGTTAGCTCATGCCAATTCCTAAAATGTCTAGCATAGGTTGCAGCAAGAGATTGGTTGCCAGGAACTAAGACTAAAGCATTTAATGGAATTTTAAGGCTTGTTCCCTTTTGAAGAACTCTTTATAAAGCTAAAATAAAACTCAATGTGCTTCCTTTACTTTTTGAATTTGTCAGTCATAAATTTTGGGGAAAAAAATCACTGCAGATTGAAAGACTTTATGACACTAAGTACAGTAAGTGAGGGTTTTTGATACTTTTCTCCAGAGACAAGACAGTGCCCCTGACAGACAGTTCTATCTGTCTGTGAGATATTAGAGATTGGGGTCAGGGCTCCATTTTCATATGTAATTAGATCGTTCTTTTGAGGAAACACTCTGAGGGAATTAAACTTTGAGGCTGGTTTGGCAGTGTGCTTTGTGATCAATAGCACAGTTCAAAGCAGGTCTGTCTTATAAGCTCTATGATCATTTGGAAAGTTCCCGAAACCTTCTGAGGCTCAGTTTCCTAATGCATGAAATGGAATTAATAACACCATCTACACAGAATCTTAGAAAGAATTAAGTGAGGTTTTAAAGGCTAAGTCCAGTGCTTTCCACTGAGTGAACAAGCAATATATTTTGCCTGTAAGTATAATTATTTTACTGCTATTTGTATTCATAGAGATACAAAACAGTGGTACAGGGTAAAAGGCAGAGAAAATTCAGAGAATACTGAGCTTAACTCACATCGTAGAAGCCACAAGTAATTTGTTTTGGTAAATCCATGTATATTACAAAACTTATAAATAATTAAATCAATATGGTATGAACCTGTCCAGTCCATGTAATGTAAGTGAGGATTACACTGGCTCAAGAGTACCCTCACCTTCAGTGAGGCCTTTAGAGCCAACTAAGGGCTCCAGGCCATGACAATTCCAACTGGGAAGCACTAGCCAATCAACAATGAACCAAAATGTTCTCAAACCAAGCAGTGTGGTTACAGCAATGCATATGAAGGCCCCAGAGCCCTGGTGGTGCTGTGATAAGTACTCCGCTGCTAACCAAAAGGACAGCTGTTTGAACCCACCAGCTGTTCCATGGGAGAAAGTTGTGGCAGTCTCTTTCCATAAAGATTACAGCCTTGGAAAACCTATGGGGCAGTTTTACTCTGTCCTGTAGGGTCACTATGTGTCAGAATCGTCTCAACTGCAATGGGTTATGAAAGTCCCTGAGAGGAAGGACTTAACGAATCACTTCATTCCAGGCAGCCTCCTTACTAAGTTACCTGACTTGATCATTGCAGTCTAGAAGGAGCTCAAAGAGGTATGTACTCAATCAACCTCACATTAACATATATCTAGCCCTGGTGGTGCAGTGGTTAAGAGCTATGGCTACTAACCAAAACGTTGGCAGTTCAAATCCACCAGCTGCTCCTTGGAAATACTACGGGGCAGCTCTACTCTGTTTTATAGGACCACTATGAGTCGGAATCAACTTGACGGCAATGAGTTTGCTTTATATATATATATATATATATATATAAAACAGACTTCAAGAAATTATAGTTAAAAACAATTCTTTTAGCTCTCCCCAATCTACCTCACTTAACCAGATGGTCCCTCATAAACCCCTCTTATGCAGAGAGATATTTTGGATCCACTACTTTGAAAGAACATTCTTTGGGAAATACATATCATCCCCCTCTTTAAAACACGGTAACATCCAACTGCTCTTAGGAGGAAAACAAAAGCCTGTAACATGATCAACAAGGGTTGCTCTCTATGGCCTGGGTGCTATCTAGCCTCCTCATGGAACACACTAACCTTTGTGCTGAGTCCTCCATCCTGTCTGTTCCCTTGTTTCAGTGCTTCCCCCTTCCAGGACCCACTCCCCACCCACCACCACCATACAGTACCTCCTCGTCTCAGCATGTTATTCTCAACTCAGTCCTTAACCAGCCTTTTACATTTGAGTCAAATATCACTTCTCCAGGGAAGCATCCAATGATCCTGATTGCCTTACATTTTCCCCATTATATGCTTTTGCAATAACAGCTAGCATTTACTGAGTCTTTACTGTGTGTCCCCCATTCAGTATTCTCTCATTTAATTCTCACACCAGCCTTATAAATTTGCTACAATTATCCCCAGTTTTCAGCGGTAACTTTCCCAATCACACACCGCTAATACAAGAGGGAACTAAGACTCTACTGCTTGTCTTTCAAACTCAGTATTACGCAGCCTAAATAGTATTCTCTACCTCCAGATCATAACAGCTACCACAGGTTGAGATTTTTTTATTTTATTTTTAATGTGATTATTTGTATAATATTTCTTTTTCTAAACTAAACATATGTCTCCATAAGGATACTGATGACTATGATAATTTTGTTCACTATTTTAACCTCAGTGACAAGCACAGTACTTGGCGTATTATAGACACTTTAATAAATACTTACTGAAAAAAATGTTTGAATAAATTTCTTAGGGCTTTATGGGGGAAATTATTTGATTGGCACAAATACCTGTGATAGTGGGATGAGGGAGACATTACTATTAACCTGTTATTTTTGTTGTTAGGTGCCGTTGAGTTGGTTCTGACTCATAGAGGCCCTATAGGACAGAGCAGAACTGCCCCATAGGGTTTGCAAGGAGTGGCTGGTAGATTGGAACTCCCGACCTTTTGGTTAGCATCTGAGCTCTTAACCACTATGCTACCAGTCTTCCCAAAAATAGAATAAAAGACTTTGTGAGTTGCAGCATTTCCCTGATCCCTGACCTACCTAATCTCTGAATTCCTGTGGGTAACTTCACCTATTCATCTCAGGTTTGGTGCTGGAACTTTGTACTGCCTGATTGGGTGAATACAAGAGAGTCACTGAAACACTTGCTTCTGTGAAAAATATTTGCAAAGTTGGTGTCTTAGTCATCTAGTACTGCTGTAACAGAAATACCACAAGTGGATGGCTTTAACAAAGAGAAATTCATCTCTTCACAGTAAAGTAGGCTAAAAGTCCGAATTCAGGGCGTCAGCTCCAAGGGAAGGATTTCTTTCTCTGTCAGCCTTCTCATCAATGTTCCCCCGGACTAGGAGCTTTTCCACGCAGGGACGCCAGGTCCAAAGAACACGCTCTGCTCCTGGCACTGCTTTTTTGGTGGTATAAGGTCCCGCCTGTCTCTCTGCTCACTTCTCTCTTTTATATCTCAAGAGATTGCCTCAGGACACAATCCAATCTTGTAGACTGAGTCCTGCCTTACTAACACAACTGCCACCCACCCTCCCTCATTAACGTCATAAAGGCAGAATTTACAACATATAGGAAAATCACACAATACGAAGAATCATGGCCCAGCCAAATTGATAAA